TTGCACTACTTATTCTCAATACAACAAACTGTAATTATTTCCAACTTAAATATTAAGTATAAAAAAAAATCAAATCATACTTTACTTTAATGATTTTTGAACCTTCATTAATGCCACATGTTTATGCATACAGGCAACTTCAATCACTAACTAACAGAACACCAAAACTAAAAAGCAAACTTTCACATTGTAAAGTTCATTCAAGTGTAAAAAATGTGATCGATTTATTTTGGAGATTTCTTGGACGTTTCTTATCTTGGCGTTACAAAATACAAAACTACAAGCTTGTTTTCTTTTTAGGAACTGATTAATGACCTTTTTATCGTTGTTTGAGGTGAAAAATATGGCTACTCCAACAACTAACTAGCGAAACACCAAAACTAAAAGTAAACTTTTACATTGTAAAGTTCATTCAAGTGCAAAAAATGTGGTCTATTTATTTTGGAGATTTCTTGAAACTTCTTATCTTGGCGTTACAAGATACAATACTATAGGCTTGAAATCTTTATAGGAACTGTTTAATAATTTTTTTTTATCATTGTTTGAGGGGAAAAATATGGCAACTTCAACCACTAACTAGCGAAACACCAAAACTAAAAAGCAAACTTTCACATTGTAAAGTTCATTCAAGTGCAAAAGATGTGGTCGATTTATTTTGGAGATTTCTTAGACATTTCTTATCTTGGTGTTACAAGATACAATACTATAAGCTTGTTTTCTTTCTAGCAACTGATTAATGACCTTTTTAACGTTTTTGTTTGAGGAAAAAAAATATCTTTCTTCATAAAATTATTAAATTATCTATTATATTTAAAATTTAAATTATATATACTAATAATTATAAATATAATATCTACACTATGTTATTGTTTAGATGTAGTGCTATAATCACATTTTTAATACAGTGGGAGAAAAATCACCTCGCTAATAGTGTGGATTATGTGCTAACTGTTAAGTCATGCATGCTAGTATATAATTCAAAAACACTAAAGTTAATTCTCTTCTCTTTACGAGTCTCTTCGTAACGAGGAAGGTGCTAAGAAGGTGCAAGTAGAAATTAACATTGAGGAAATGAATTATTTACAACCCACATAAATAATTCTAAATTAACAAAGACTTTGCACATCAACACTGATATTGCACATCAACACTGACATTGCACATTATAAATTTATCTCCTTGTACTTTTCGAGAAAAATAAGATAAAAAGAATCAACGTCATGCCAAAAATGAACCTACAAATTGAACTACTTATTCTCAATACAACAAATTGTATTTATATCTAACTTCAACGTTAAGCATAAAATAAAATTAACACATACTATTATAACTCTTGTACACACAAAAATAATTCTACATCAACACACCTAAATAATTCTACATTAGCACTAGCATTGCACACAATCAATTTATCTCCTAGTATTATTTCATAGATAAAAACCAAATAACTTGTGTCATTCTAAAAGAGAACCACCAAACTAAACTACTTACTCTCAATACGACTAACTGTAATTATTTCTAATTTAAATGTTAAGTATAAAAAATTATCAAATACTTCGCTTCAATGATTCTAGAACCTTCATTGATGTCACATGTTTATGCATGTAGGCAACTTCAACCACTAACTAGCAAAACACCAAAACTAAAAAGCAAACTTTCACATTATAAAGTTCATTCAAGTGCAAAAAATGTGATTGATTTATTTTGGAAATTTCTTTATCGTTTCTTATCTTGGCATTAAACATACAATACTACAGGCTTGTTTTCTTTCTACAACTAATTAATGACCTTTTTATTGTTGTTTGAGGAAAAAAAATATCTTTCTTCAAAAAATTATTAAATTATCTAATATATTAACGATTTAAATTATGTATAATAATAGTTGTAAATTTAATTATCTACATTATTGTTGTTGTTTAGAAGTAGTACTATAATCACATTTTAATACAATGGTAGAAAAAATCACCTTGCTTGTGCTAAGCCATTCATTGTTGTATATAATCCAAAAACACTAAAGTTGCTTCTCTTCTATATATTATTATGGGTCTCTTCATAGCGAGGGCAGTGCTAAGGAGGTGCAAGTAGAAATTAACAATGAGGAGGAAATGAATTATTTACAATACACATAAATAATTCTATATTATAACACGGATATTGCACATTAACACTAATATTGCACATTAACACTGACATTGCACATTATAAATTTATAATAAAATCTCCCACACTAAAAGAAGAATTCATCTTTTAAAATAGAAAATACTTTTTAAATAAGAAATGAAGAATTCATTGTCCAAAAGTAGATCGCATTTCTTGAGCGTCTGTTCTATGAAAGCAAAGGTTTTATGCTACACCCTCCCGAAAAGTTGTCTTAGGTGCAATTCTCAATAGAAACAAATTGTTATTATCTCTAACTTAATGAAGTATAAAATAAATTTAACACAAACTTTATAAATCTTGAACACACACAAATAATTCTACATTGACACAAATAAATAATTCAACATTAACACTAGTATTGCACACAATCAAGTTATCTCCTTGTACTATTTCATAATATAAAACCAAAAATATTGATGTCGTTCTAAAAGAGAACCACCAAACTATACTATTTATTCTCAATACAAATTAACTGCAATTATCTCCAACTTAAATGATTAGTATAAAACAAAATTAAAACACACTTTAATGATTCATGAACCTTCATTGATGTCACATGTTTATGCATGCAGGCAACTTCAACCTCTAACTAGCAAAGCACCAAAATTAAAAAGCAAACTTTCACATTGTAAAGTTCATCCAAGTACAAAAAATGTGGACGGTTTTTTTTGGAGATTTCTTGACCATTTTTTATCTTGGCGTTACAAGATACAATACTACAAGCTTGATTCCTATCTAGCAACTTATTAATAACTTTTTTATCTTAGTTGGAGGGAAAAAATATTTTTCTTCAAAAAGTTATTAACTTATCTAATATATTTAAGATTTAAATTATATATACTAATTTATCTAAACTATATTACTGTGTAGAAGTAGTACTGTAATGTTGACAACTCTCCATTAAATCTAATGCACAATACTTGGTTCTTGTAACAGTTACATATAATCACATTTCTAATCCAATGGTCACAATTACATCTTCATTATTTACAACGCAAAAATAATTTTGCATTAACACTGACATTACACATCATCATTTTATCTCTATGTATTGTTTTGAAAAGAATAAAAAAAAAATCAAATCATGCTAAAAGGAATCATCAAATTGAACTACATATTTCGAATACAAACAAATTTTAATTATCTTTGACTTAAAAGTAAGTATAAAATAAAATTAACACATATTTTTACAACTCTTGAACACGCACAAATAATTCTATATTAACACGCATAAATAATTATACATTAACACTAGCATTAAACACAATCAATTTATTGGATTGTACTACTTCATAGATATAAAACAAAAAAAAAAACTGGTGTCATTCTAAAAGAGAACTACCAAAACGAAAAAGAAAACTTTCACATTGTAAAGTTCGTCCAAGTGCAAAAAATGTGGACCTTTTTTTTGTGGAGATTCTTTGTCCGTTTCTAATTTTGGTTCTACGAGATGAAATACTACAAGCTTGTTTTCTTTCTAGCAATTGATTAATGACCTTTTTATAATGACATTAACACAAACATTATACATTATCAATTTATCTCTTTGTACAGTTTGAGAAAAATAAAATAAAAAATCAACGTCATACAAAAAAAAATCCATCAAATTGAACTACTTATTTTCAATACAAACAAACTATAATTATCTCTAACTTGTTAAGTATAATTTAAAATTAACACATACTTTTGTAACTCTTTAATGCACATAAATAATTCTACATTAACACATAAATAATTTTACATTAACACTAGCAGTGCACACAATCAATTTACCTCCTTATACTATTTCATAGAACCACCAAACTAAACTACTTATTCTCAATACAAACTAAATGTAATTATCTCTTACTTAAATGTTAAGTATAAATAACCTTTATGATGCCACATGTTTATGCATGCGGGCAACTTCTTTCTAATTAACAAACCAAACAAAAAAGCTAACTTTAACGTTTATCCAAGTGCAAAAAATGTGGTCTGTTTTTTTTTTGAGATTTCTTGGCCGTTTATTATCTTGGCATGACAAAATACTATACTACAAACTCGTTTTCCTTTAAACAACCGATCAATGACCTTTTTATCCTTGTTTGAGGAAAAATATTACTTTTCTTCAAAAAATTATTAAATTATACAAAATATTTAAGATTTAAATTATATATACTAATAATTGTAAATTTAATTATCTAAACTATGTTACAGATATCCACTAGAATTACACTGTAGACAACTCTCCATTAAATTTAATGCACAATACTTGAATCTTATAACAGTTCCATACAATCACATTTTCAATACAGTGGGAGAAAAAACACCTTGCTAATAGTGTGGATTATGTGCCGAGTTATGCATGCAAGCATATCATCCAAAAACATTAAAGTTGCTTCCCTCACAACATATCACTCACTTCATCACTCCATCAAAGCACCAAATAATCTTCTCTTTTTCTTCTTTTACTTTGCTCAAGTAGAAATCATTAAGATTGAGGAGGAAATCGATTATTTAAAACACACAAACAATTCTACATTGGCATTGATATTGCACATTATCAATTTATCTCTTTGTAATGTTTGAGAAAAAAAATTAAAAATTAATGTCATGCCCAAAAAAACCATGAAATTGAACTACTTATTCTCAATACAAATAAACTGTAATTATATCTTACTTAAATGTTAAGTAAAAAATAAAATTAACATATACTTCTATAACTCTTGAACGCACATAAATGTGATCAATTTTTTTTGGAGATTTCCTGGTCGTTTCTTTTATTGACGTTATAGGATACAATACTACATGCTTATTTTTCATTCTAGCAACTGATTAATGAATATCTTATTCTTGTTTGAGGAAATAAATTTATTTTCTTCAAAAAATTCATCAAAGTATCTATTAAATTGAATATTTAATATATAATACTAATAACAGTAAATTTAATTATCTACACTTTGTTACTGTTTAAAAGTAGTACTATTTTATAGACAACTCCCCATTAAATTTAATGCATAATATTTGATTCTTATAACAGTTACATATAATCACATTTTAATACAGTGGGAGAAGAAGTCACCTTTCTACTAGTGTAAATTATGCGCTAAGTCATGCACACTAGCTTCCCTCACTATATATCACTCGCTTCATCATTCCATCAAAGCACATACTAATTTTCGCTTTTTCTTCCTTTACTTCGCTTTCTCCATTTTTCTTCTTCTCTTTTCTCTATTGTTGTGGGTCCCTTGGTAACGAAGGTAGTGCTAAGGAGGTTCAAGTAGAAATTATGAACATTGAAGAGGAAATGGATTATTTACAATAGACATAAATAATTCTACATTAACACAGACATTGCACATTAACACGACATTGCATATTATCAATTTATCTCTTTATATTGTTTGAGAAAAATAAAAAGAAAAAAATCAACATCATGCCAAAAAAGAACCAAAACTTATTCTCAATACAAACAAATTGTAATTATTTCTAACTTAAATGTTAAGTAAAAAATAAAATTAAAACATACTTTTATAATTCTTGAACACACATAAATAATAATACATTAATAATAGCATTCCACACATTCAATTTATCTCCTTGTACTATTTCATAGGTATAAAACCAAAAAACCGGTATCATTCTAAAAGAGAACCACCTGACTGAACCACTTATTCTTAATACATCTAACTATAATTATCTTTAACTTAAATATTAAGTATAAAACAAAATTAAAACATGCTTGAACCTTCATTGATGCCACAGGTATAATGCATGCAGGCAACTTCAACCTCTAACTAGCAAAATACCAAAACTAAAAAGCAACTTTCACATTGTAAAGTTCATCCAAGTGCAAAAAATGTCGTCGATTTTTTGGAGATTCCTGACTGTTTCTTATTTTGGCATTATAAGATACAATACACAAGCTTGTTTTCTTTCTAGCAACTGATTAATGAATTTTTTATCCTCGTTTGAGGGGAAAAAATTATTATTCTTCAAAAATTTATTAAAGCATCTAATACATTTAAGATTTAATATACCATACTAATAACTGTAACATTAATTATCTACACTATGTTACTGTATAAAAGTAGTACTATATTGTAGATAACTCCTCATTAAATTTAATGCACAATCTTTTATTCTTGTAACAGTTAGTACAGTAGAAGATAAAACCACCTTTCTAATAGTGTCGATCATGTGCTAAGTCATGCATGATAGCTTCCCTCACTATATATCACTCCTTTCATCACTCCATCAAAGCACACAATAATCTTCTCTTTTTCTTCCTTTACTTTGGTTTCTTCATTTTTCTTTTTTTCTCTCTATTGTTATGGTTCTCTTCGTAACTAAGGCGGTGCTGAGGGGGTGCAAGTAGAAATTATTAACATTGAAGAGGAAATGAATTATTTACAATAGACATAAATAATTCTACATCAACACAGACATAGCACGTTAACATAAATATCGTACATTAACGCTGACAATGCACATTATCAATTTATCTCTTTGTATTGTTTGAGAAAAATAAAATGAAAAAAATCAACATTATGCCAAAAAAGAACCACTTATTCTCAATACAAAAAAACTGTAATTATATCTAACTTAAATATTAAGTAAAAAACAAAACTAAAACATACTTTTATAACTCTTGAACACACACAAATAATTATACATCAACACTAGCATTGCACACAATCGATTTATTGTCTTGTACTATTTCATAGATATGAAACCCAAAAAACTGGTATCATTCTAAAAGAGAACCACCTAACTAAACTACTTATTCTTTATACAAACTAACAGTAATTATCTCCAACTTATATGTTAGGTATAAAATAAAATTAAAACATGCCACATGTTTATACATGCAGGCAGGCAACTTCAACCTCTAACTAGCAACACACCAAAACTAAAAAGCAAGCTTTCACATTGTAAAGTTCATCCAAGTACAAAAAATGTGGACGATTTTTTGGGAGATTTCTTGACCATTTTTTATCTTGGCATTACAAGATACAATACTACAAGCTTAATTTCTATCTAGCAACTGATCCATAACCTTTTTTATCCTAGTTGGAGGGAAAAAATTATTTTTCTTTAAAAATTTATTAAATTTTCTAATATATTTAAGATTTAAATTATATATACTAATAATTGTAACTTTAATCATCTAAACTATGGTATTGTTTAGAAGTAGTACTGTACTGTAGACAATTCTCCATTTAATTAAATGCACAAAACTTGGTTCTTGTAACAGTTACATATAATCACATTTTTAACATACGGTCACAATTTCAACTTCATTATTTACAACACAATAATAATTTTGCATTAACAAAGACACTGCACATTATCATTTTATCTCTATGTCGTGTTTTTAGAAGAGTAAATAAAAAAAATCAATGTCATGCCAAAAGGAATCATCAAATTGAACTACATATTCCCAATACAAACAAGTATAAAATAAAATTAACACATATTTTTATAACTCTTGAACACGCACAAATAATTCTATATTAACACGCATAAATAGTTATACATTAACACTAGAACTGCACACAATCAATTTATTGACTTGTACTATGTCATAGATATAAAACCAAAAAAAACTAATGTCATTTTAAAAGAGAACTACCAAATTCAACTAATTATTCTTCATACAAATTAACTATAATTATCTTTAACTTAAATGTAAAGTATAAAATTAAAAAAAAACATACTTGAACCTTCATTGATGCCACATGTTTATGCATACAAGCAACTTCAACCTATAACTAGCAAAACACCAATATGAAAAAAGAAAACATTGTATACAAGTGCAAAAAATGTGGACATTTTTTTTTGGAGATTCTTTGTCCGTTTCTAATCTTGGCGTTACAGATGCAATACTACAAGCATGTTTTCTTCTAGCAATTGATTAATGACCTTTTTATAATGACATTAACAGAGACATTATAAATTATCAATTTATCTCTTTGTAATGTTTGAGAAAAAAAAATCAACGTCATGCCAAAAAAATCCATCAAATTAAACTACTTATACTCAATACAAAGAAACTGTAATTATCTCCAACTTGTTAAGTATAATTTGAAATTAACACATACTTTTATAACTCTTGAACACACATAAATAAATATACATTAACACAAATAATTTTACATTAACACTACCATTACACACAATCAAAATATCTCCTTGTACTATTTCATAGATAAAAGCCAAAAAAACTGGTGTCAATCTAAAAGAGAACCACCAAACTAAACTACTTATTCTCAATACAAACTAAATGTAATTATCTCTAACTTAAATGTTAAGTATAAAACAAAATTCAAACATATTTTAATGATTCTTGAACCTTTATGACGCCACATGTTTATGCATGCGGGCGACTTCTTTCTAACTAGCAAAACAACGAAACAAAAAAGCAAACTTTCATATTGTAAGGTTTATCCACGTACAAAAAATATGGTCTGTTTTTTTCTTTTGGGAGATTTCTTAGCCGTTTCTTATCTTGATGTTACAAAATACAATACTACAGGCTTGTTTTCTTTTTAACAACCGATTAATGACCTTTTTATCCTTGTTTGAGGAAAAATATTATTTTTCTTCAAAAAATTATTAAATTATATAATATATTTAACATTTAAATTATATATACTAATAATTGTAAATTCAATTATCTAAACTATGTTACTGATATGAAGTAGTACTATACTGTAGACAACTCTCCATTAAATTTAACACACAATACTTGAATCTTGTAACAGTTCCATATAATCACGGTTTTAATACAGTGAGAGAGAGAAACCACCTTGCTAATAGTGTGGATTATATGCCGAGTCATGCATGCAAGCATATAATCCAAAAACAGTAAAGTTGCTTTCCTCACAATATATCACTCAGTTCATCACTCCATTAAAGCACAAAATAATCTTCTCTTTTTCTTCCTTTACTTAGCTCAAGTAGAAATCATTAAGATTGAGGAAATGGATTATTTAAAACACATATAAACAATTCTACATTAGCATCGATATTGCACATTATCAATTTATCTCTTTGTAATGTTTGAGAAAAAAATTAAAAATTAATGTCATGCCAAAAAAGAACCATCAAATTGAACTACTTATTCTCAATACAAACTATTTGTAATTATATCTAACTTAAATGTTAAAGTAAAAAATAAAATTAACATGTACTTTTATAACTCTTGACCGCACATAAATAATTCTACATTAACACACATAAATAATTCTACATTAACACTAGTGTTGCACACAATCAATTTATCTCCTTGTACTCTTTCATAGACATAAAACCAAAAACAGTGGTGTCATTTTAAAAGAGAACGACCAAACTAAACTATTCATTCTTAAATACAAGCTAACCAACTAACTGTAAATATCTCTACATTAGATGTTTAGTATAAAACAAAATTAGAACATACTTTAATGATTCTTCTACCTTCATAAATGTCACATGTTTATACATGCAGGCAACTTAACTTTAACTAGCAAAACACCAAAACTAAAATTCAAACTTAGACATTGTAAAGTTTATTCAAGTGCGAAAATTGTGGACGGTTTTTTTTGGATATTTCTTGGCTGTTTCTTATTTTTTGCGTTACAAAATACAATCCTACAGACTTGTTTTCTTTCTAACAACCAATTAATGACATTTTTATCCTTGTTTGAGGAAAAAAAAATATTTTTCTTAAAAAATTATCAAATTATCTAATATATATAAGATTTAAATTATATATACTTATATTGTAAATTTAATTATCTAAACTTCCGATTAAATTTAATACACAATACATGGTTCCATATATTGTGCAATACAGTGGGAGAAGAAATCACCTTGCATGCTAGCATATAATCCAAAAACACTTCCTTCCTCACTATATATCACTCACTTCATCACTCCATCAAAGCACAAAATAATCTTCTCTTTTTCTTCTTTTACATTGGTTTCTCCATTTTTTCTTCTCTTCTTTGTATTGTTATCGGGTCTCTTCGTAAAGAAGGTGGTGCTAAGAAGGTGCAAGTAGAAATTATAAATCTTGCCGAGGAAATAGAGAAAAAATCAGAAAAAAGTGTAGGTGAAATTATTAATCCTCCTGTGGTGTTGTCTTCAACTGTTTTATCATTAATGGAATTAGAAAAATTGAAGGAAATTCCTCCTCTAGATGAGGGATCATCATTAGCTACTAAAGCTAATTGGGACTTTGAACATATGGAGTGGATTTGGTCACCTTACACTTAAGAAG